TTTAACATGGTGACTAAGAGCATCTTTGTTTTTGAAATTAGCATATGGTATGAATTAAATTCCATAATTCTAATACTCTAAAAATATCTTCCCATAGAAAAAAAATCGTTATTCATTTTAATATTCATTGACCTAAATACGAACACCCATGGGAAAAAGGTTTGTCTAAATTAATCAAAACCAAAAAATTCACATTCATATCAAACACTCCATTATGATTTAGCTTTAAAAAATAAACTAATCAAATTTAACCAAAGTTTATAAAAAAAATTATCAATAGTTTGTAAATTTAACTAAACAATTAAAGTTGAACAAAACCCTAGATAATCTAAATTCCTAGAAACACATCAATTTGTATTTCAAAGAAGATGAATCCGCAAAGAAAAATAAAAAATTACCTAGTGAGAAAATTCATGCGGAGAAACTTGAGTGCCGATTGGATTGAACGACTTGTGATTTCACCTGCTTTTCACTCAGATTACATTGAGTGGATTTAACAGCCTTGTTGTGAAATTAAGGTTGCATATAATGAAGATGAAAGAACTGTTTGAAAGTGACCGACATCGTGTAACACCGTGTTCCTGGTATGCATTTAAATTGTATTTCGTTTATTTAGTAGAGCTGGGAGCCCCAAACTCGTTGAGTAGAAGTGGGTTTGGACACTGGTTTAAAGCCATCTACTCGACGAGTAGGTCTGCCAGGATGAAACCCTAATTTTGGGGGGGGGGGATTTGCACCATATTTAAGCAACTTAATCCCCACCTTTCGCCTCATTTCCAATGTCTAAGTCCCAAACCCTAATCTACGAAACCTAGAGCATTGTGTGAGTGTGTGAGCTATTTTTGAGTGTTTTTGTGTGCTTTGAAGCTTGAAGAGAAAGAAGAAGCTTGAGGGTTTCCAGAGAAGATTGTATATCCAGAAGCAACGCTTCATTCCCTTCCTTTTCTGGTAATCAAGTCTATAACTTGATCATTTATCTTTTAGATCTATTTATCTTCCATTTTTTGAGGATTTTGACTCAAAGAGCTTGACCTTTGGGATTTGGACGTCCCAAGCAAGGATCTATTCAGATCTGGGATCATTAAGGTTTGCTAAGGTGTAAAGGTGCAAACTTTATGCCATTAGAACCCCCATGCAAGCCCTAGAGTGTCATTTTGGCCTTTTTAGCCCAAAAAGGCCATGCATGAGGAGAAAGGTGAGAGCTTTACGTGTCCAAGTAATGCTAAGGGTTAGATATGTGATTGTAAGCTTTAGTTTAGTGCATGGATGGTTTAAGGACCAAGTTTTAGGTCCCAAGGAGTTAGGGTTTGAGATAAACCCATTAAGAAGAGGTATTAACGGGTAACGTTGGAAAATTTACCCTCAAAAGGACATTTACAGGGTTTTTGTGAAATATGAAACTTGGATCTGAAGTGTAGGGGCTGAATTCATCAAGATAGCCCAAACAGGCAAGGGGACTTGACGAGTCGAGTTAGGTTGTCCTGATTCTATGTCAAGTAGAACGCGACGAGTCTTTGAAGGGACTCGACGAGTTGACTCGGTTGATCATGAGTCTGAGTAGTATAGGAACTCATCGATTTAGGAGGTAACTCAATGAGTTGAGTCGACTGGGAGTTGACCTTGACTTTGACTTGACTAGGATTTGATTTTGACCAGGGGTAAAATGGTTATTTTACCCTAAGAAGGGTTATTATATTTTGATTAAGTGTTATTGTGAAATTGGCCGGGGAGTCGTTGGAGCAGCCGTCACAGATTCCTCACACGAGATTTCACAACTAGCAAACGAGGTGAGTTTTCCTCTAGTAGGGATGAGTCAAAGGGAACAGGTCAAAGGCACCAATTCTGACCCGTTTATGTATGTTAGCAGATGCTAGACTTAGGTCCTATGTTGGGGTTAGCCTGATGTAGGTATATATGCTTTTCTGGATTTCGATCCGATGTCAGAGCGGTCCCGAGGAATGCTTGTATGCTTGGTGTCTTTATTGTTCTTGCATGTGTTATTATGTGTATGTTTCCGAACTTTGGTCCGATGTCGGGCGGTCCCGAGGAATGTTAGTATGCTTTCGGACTACGGTACGATGTCGGGCGGGACCCAAGGAATGTCTAAATGTTAATGATATATGCTTCGGTTTATGTGTATTATTTGACTGTTTCACATGTATTCCGAGATGTGCTCGATGCAGGGCGAGGCTCAATGTTGGGCGGGGCCCGATGCCACGAAAGCCGATGTCGAGCTTGACTCGATGTAGCAGGGGTGGGGCCCAAGATATGTTTATGTGATATGTGTAGAGTATGTGGTAGTTGGGGAGACTCACTAAGCTTCGTGCTTAAAATTTTCAGTTTTGGTTTCAGGTACTTCCGCTAGTAAAGAGATAACCTTGTGATGACTGCATGACACACACCACGACTTTTAGCATGGGAGGACTCACTTTGATATTTTGACATATGATTTGATACATTGATAGATAGTATGAGATTTTGAGATACATGATTTATGACATTTGATACTTGTAGTTTTGTTATTATGATGTTTGACAAAATATGGCTTTACTTAAGTGATTAAAAACAAAATTTTAGGAACGTATTTTTGGGGATGTTACACATTGGGTCAAGGGGAAAGGCGGATCCGGTATTCTGGCATGGTGTTGTCTGATGCTAGTCGATGAATGGCTTTACGTTTGATGGAGGTAGGTTTTAAAAGAGAATGAAGAAACCGATTTCCAAAATAAACGAATATGAATTTTTAATTTTTGATATTAATTAATGAATATATGTAATATTACTAATATATCCTTATTAATTTAATAAATTATTTCATTTTTCTTAATTTGTAATTGGTCCATTCATACACACAATAGTTATTAAAAACATTTGAATCTCTCTCTCCCTCTCTCTCTCTCTCTTTATATATATATATATATATATATATATATATATATATATATATATATATATATATATATGCCGTAAAATTCAGACGTCGATTCCAAATAAGGAATTGATTATTTTTACGCATTGTCTACGACATCAAAAACCGATTTCCATATTTTCAGCAGCGAGTTAATGGAAGAGGTGAGAAAGGTTTCTCCTTAATTCAAAAATGTACCATTGTAGTTCGTCAGCTTGCATTCGACACGGTACTAGGCTCATAGGAGGAGCATTTGAGGATGTCAAAGTGAACGGCGAGGGAATGTGTATACAAGCGTACATGGCGAACATATCGGAGGTATACGAACGAATCAGACATCACAATCTTTATGCGGATTTGGTGGAACACGTCATCAATACTCGAGTGAATACTTATGTGGACGATTTTGATGAAGATGAGTTGTTCAACTCTACCGATGACGAGTTAGAAATGTTTGAAGGAGGTTCAGACGAGGATTATAACGACGTGGCTAGTGACGATGATTAGATCATATTTTTTTCGATACTTTGAGTATGTTTTTTTAATTTATGTTTTTAATGTAGTATCTAATTTTTTAATTAATGAATTATTTTCTTTTTATTAATTTTATATAATTATAATTTATTAAATTATATTTTATTCACTTAAAAAAATAGAGTAAATTACACGAATGGTCCCTATGGTTTGGGGTAATTTGCGTGTTTGGTCCCTAACTTATTTTTTTTAACTCTGAAGGTCCCTACTGTTTGTTTTTGTTACGCGCTTGGTCCCTAATGTTTGTTTTTGTTACACGCTTGGTCCCTATCTTACCCAAAACGTCTATTATTTAAATAGAAAAAAATGATGGAGCATGTAAGATAAGGTGAAAGGGGTGGAATTGGGGGTGTGTTTATTTAAATAGATTAACAGATCAAGGGTAAAATAGTCTTTTTATGTATGACAGGGACCAAGCGTGTAACAAAAATAAACAATAGGGACCTTCCGAGTTAAAAATATAAATTAGGGACTAAATGCGCAAATTACCCTAAACCATAGGGACCATTCGTGTAATTTACTAAAAAAATATTTTTTTTAAAATGTGACAAGATGTAGTATGACATCTACGGTTGGGTAAATAGAAAAGTAATATGGTGATGAAGTGGTAATGAAACAGTGTGATGAGTATTACACCCACCAATACCCACCAATATTAAAGAAAAAAAAAAGTAGTGAAACAAATGATTTTTTACGATAAATGAGAATATAGAAAGTAGAAACATGTTTCATTACTGAATTCAAAGCCAATCAAATAAGGATATAATTAAAGGATATAATTAAAGATAATCTCTCTAATTAAAGTTGAAAATTAGTTATAGATAATTAATAAAAGAGAAACGAGAAATATGATAATACCCTCACGTGCATTGCACATGCGAGGGTCTAACATAGCGGATGAAACGGCGTGTGTGGGAGGGACCGGTTTGGAAATAGAAAGCGAACATAGGGACTTTATTTGGAAAATACCAAAAGTAGGGACCAATCTTTCAAATTTTGATAAAGCTTAGGGATCATTTTTATAATTTACTCTAGTTTTTTAGATATAATTGTTAGACAAAATTGCAAAAATGGTCACTGTCGTATGCAATTTTTTGGGGTTTTAATCCAAATCATTACTGTTTTTGATTGGTGGTCCTTTTGAGGTAGTTTGCTTGTGATTTTGATCCTTCAATAAATTGAAAAGACTAAATTGCCCTTATTATATTTATTTTCCACTTTTCTTTTTTTTTTCTATAAATATTTATATATAAAAAATAAAAATAGGGGGCCCACTCTCTCTCTCTCTCTCTCTCTCTCTTTCTCTCTCTCTCTCTCTCTCTCTCTCTCTCTCTCTCTCTCTCTCTCTCTCTCTCTCTCTCTCTCTCCCCCCCCCCCCCTTGATCTTGCAGCTATAACAAAAGCAATTTCATCAGGGGATTCAGCTTCATAAGTAACTCTCCCTGTTTCTTCATCAACATCAGGAATCGTTGTCCCTGTTTCTTCATCAACATCAGGAATCGTTGTGTGACAAATCGCAAGTAATCTAAAGAACTTCTGAATAACATCAGAACGTGGTTCAAGAAGCCAATAACCATTGAGGAATCCTTTCATCTTCAAAATTATACCCTTTTACAGATAACCCAGAATCATCGTCTTCATCATCATTATCGTCATCAAGAACTCTTCCATTAACAACCAATGGTGATCCTGTCTTTTTCGCCATAGCTCTTTCAACTTCTGTAACACCACGTCCGTATGTTGTTCCTGCTATTGAACACTTGATGAACTCCATTGAATTGCAGGTTAAAGTCCCGGTTTTGTCTGAGAAAATCGTGTCGATTTGGCCGAGTTCTTCGGTGATATTTGAAGTTCGCGCGTGTGCAGGTATATCAGCTTCTTCGTAGTACATATGAATGTCGTTGTTGATGAAAATCGTTTGTAGAACTTTCACGATTTCTATTGAAACGTATAGAGAAATCGGGATTAAATATGTGTATAACAATAAAGCTGTGAGAAAATGGAAAATCGCTGCAGCTGGAGCGCGTTTCAGGTCGAAAAAGATCTATGAATCGTCGGGTCTCAAATACCATCGTTTCATTCTGTGATTGTGAAGATAAGGGGGATGGAGACTGTTGGTGGCGAATGATGGCGGCTTATGTGTTTATGAATCTTGATTGCGTTTTCTACATATAGGAATTGAGCATTTTTGATGGGAGAAATTAGGTTTTTTGGAAGGAGAGAATATGGTGAAAGGAGGAAGAAGATGAAGAACAAAGTCGTATGTGTTTTTGGTTGTAATCCAGAGAGAGAGAGAGAGAGAGAGAGAGAGAGAGAAGTGGGCCCCAAATTAGGTAATTAGTTTATTTTTCATTTAAATTAAATAGAAAAAGAATAAAAATATATATCAGAAGGGCATAATAGTCTTTTCAGTTTACTGAGGGACCAAAAACGCAAAGAAAGTAGCTCAAAAGGACCATCAATCCAAAAAAGTCGTGGTTTGGACTAAAACCCCAAAAATTTGCATACCACAGGGACCATTTTTGCAGTTTTGTCTTGAAATTATTTATATTTTATTTTTATGATGGGGTTTAACCGATCGTAAAGAATTAATTTCAAATAATTCATGGATAAATCAAGTCCAAAAAAAATTTAATGAGATAACAAAATTGAAAGTTTGTTGCATTTTCTTAATATTACATAAATAATTTCTTTTACCTTGATAGATCACATTGTTATGTTTTTCATATCAAGACTTCTTAATAAATTTCATTATATTATTTTATATGGGTGTAGGGTTTAATTTTTAAGATTTAAATAGTATATTTGTTTTCACTACAATACTTAAGGGCATAACGGGCGACATATGTCGCCACCAAAGGTATGAAGAGTTGTCGCAATTAGCTTTACAACCCTCCCGTCCTTATATCTCTTGATATAGGTTGAAACGGATGTTTCTGTATATAATGCCTACAAGTAGTAGTGCGTTAACAATACTTTGTATTAAATAGAATAACAGTTTGTAATTAGGGGTGTTATTTGGGCCGGAACCGAACCGAATCAACCTGAACCCGAATAACCCGAGAACCGAATAAGGGTAATTGTATGAACCGAAAACCAAACCAAATAAGCAATACGGGTTCGGTTCGGTTCGGGTATTATTCGGTTCTGTTCGGTTCCGGCCCGAATAACCCACATAACATGTACAAGATGATTAAGGACCTATTATAACCGAAAAGAACAGGATAAACCGTATTATGATTGTATAACCCGAATAATCTGAATAACACTTACAATATGGTTATAAATATTGTACTTTGTATGACTTTTGTAACTTATGATTTCATAACAAATCTTAAAAAAAAAAAACAAATTTGCTCATTAACAATAATACAAAGTATATATAATTGTTTCAAATGTGCAAAAGAGTTAGAATTTATGTATTAAGAATATAACCACAGATAACATGGATTAACTATTCTTGAGATATAAAATATAAAATCCAAATACCAAAATCTTAAGATACTGTTATGAAGTAACATACTAAACACTAAAAATTAAACACCCAAAACACCCAAAAATCTATATATAAGTATATAAGTTAAACATTAAACATTCCACACTCGAAATAAAATATGAATCTTAAGTTTTTAACCATATCCAAAATAACATTTTTCAAACATGAATGAACTATTTGGAAATATTGATTGGTTGTTTTTCCTTTCCACCTCCATTGTTTATCGCCTCTTCTAAACCTTTCGCGACCTCATCGTCTTTTAAAATTTCATCAATGTTGTTCACAATTGGCTTTTTTGATTTCCTTACCAAATCTTGGGTGCAAACCAAAACCTCTGCTATATTTGCAGACAAATTTGTTCGATATGGATCCAATATCCGTCCGCTTGTACTAAACTCCACCTATGACACCACAGTAGAGATTTATAGTCCCAAAATATCTATCAACATAAGCATAGATGTAACATCCCAAAATACGACCCAAAAATTTTTGTTTAAAATTACTAAAAGTACTAAAATAATATCACAAAATAAAACCCATACATCAATGTTTCAAAACAGTAACTAATGGTTATGTAGAACTGTATCAAAACTGTATCAATCACATTTATGAAAAAACTAAAACATCTCCCAGGACAGCTGAAACTGTGGTGTATGCGATGCCATCAACCCGAGCTCTTCCCTTTACTTGCGGAAGTACCTGAAACCAAAACTGAAACTGTAAGCACGAAGCTTAGTGAGCTCCTCCAAACTACCACATACCATACAATACATATAAACACATACTGGGCCTTGCCCACTGCATCGGACCGAAGTCCGAAAACTGCATCGGACCGAAGTCCGGAACTAGCCAAGGCCTTGCCCTCTGCATCGGATTGAAGTCCGGAACTACTGAGGCCTTGCCTCCTGCATCGGACCGAAGTTCGGAACTGACTGCATCGGACCGAAGTCAGGAACTAATTGCATCGGACAAAAGTCTGGAACTACTGATCATAGCATAGCACAAACATATCAACTAGCATGAACACATAAATAACATGCTGCATCGGGCTGTAACCCGGAACATATAACACATAATCCTGTCTGAGCCACGAAGGCTTAAAACATAATAAAATCTGCATCGGACCGAAGTCCGGAAACTACTACTAGCTATAAGGGCCGACATTGTGGCCTTAGACCCGTTCCTATTGGAAGGAAACTCACCTCGTGATCTGGCTGCTGAGTGTATGGCTCTGGAAGCTATCTACTGCTGCTTCAGTATCTCGTCGGCTACAATTCCAAAAATACACTCAATTAAAAATACTAATAACTGCATTGGGGTAAAATGACTCTTTTACCCCTGGCTAAAGTCAACTCTCCTGGTCAAGGTCAACTCTTCTGGTCAAAGTCAACTTACAGTTGACCTGACTCGCCGAGTTGGGCCGCCAACTCGCCAAGTCCCTACTTTCATTTCTTAACCCTGCTTGCTGCTACTCGTCGAGTATGTCTTGAACTCGACAAGTTCCCATTCGATTCTAAAACTCAGACTATCTGCATCTGACTCGCCGAGTTGTATGAACAACTCGACGAGTTGTTCTTGAAATTATGAAGATTGCCTTAGATTCGCCGATTTGTATGAACAAATCGCCGAGTCCTTCCATTACTGAGTCTAACCTCCGACTCACTGAGTCCATTCCACTACTCACTGGTCTCCACTCGGAATCACTCAAAGGGGAAAGATCGGGGACTCGCGACTCGACTCGCCGAGTCCGAAGAACGACTCGTCGAGTCACATGCATGCAATTTCTAAAAACTCGATTCTCGATCAAAATCATTGCATACAATACATAGATCTGAGTTCCTAAGGCTGGTTTACCACATAAAGTTCCCAACTTTACTTGTACAAATGCACACAAAAGGATATAAAGGCTAAAAAGGCACTTGGAAAAGTAGATCTAGGGTTATCATGCAAAATGGCTTCATAAAGTTGATAGATCTACGTTTTTGGAACTGAAACATGGCTAGATCCGAAAGCTAATCCATCCAATATGATTTATCTACTAAGAACAAGCTAGAGAATTGGCTAAATATGCTTATAAAGGAGAATCAATCATCAAAACTGGAAGAAACCGATTATTACCTCAAGATACTCTGAAATAGGTGCAAAAACTTGGATCTTCTTCTTCTCCTTTGGATCTAGCCTCCTTCTTCTCTTCAAAACTTCAAGATTTAGACAAGAAAAGCTCAAATACTCAATGGAATGGTTAGGGTTTGCCAAATAATGCTTTGAGGGTGAAGGAGACGAGTTTGGGGGCTCATAAGATGGTTTAAATAGGGTGCAAACCCGAGGATTTAGGGTTTCAACCTGGCAGGCCGACTCGCCGAGTCCCGAATATGGACTCGCCGAGTCGCCGATCTATACGCTGCCCAAGACCACGACTCTACTCGACGAGTCGGGCCGTAGACTCGTCGAGTCCCTCTACAAACTTCTAAAATAAATAATATAAAGCAACATACCAGAGACGGGTCATTACAATTCTCCCCCACTTGACTCAAACTTCATCCTCGAAGTCTGCTACGGCTGAATCTGCAAATAACTCTGGGTAGTGCTCTTTCATCTCATCTTCAGCCTCCCACGTCCACTTAGACCCCTTCCGGTGCTCCCACTACACCTTCACTAACTGAATTACCTTGTTCCTCAAGGTCTTTATCTTCCGGTCCAAAATCGCGACCGGCCTCTCAATATAATTCAAGCTGCTATCAACCTGAATATCTTCTAAGGGAACAACTGCTGACTCATCCACCAAACATTTCCTTAACTGAGACACATGGAAAGTGTTGTGGATCTGGCTAAGCTCTGCTGGAAGATCCAACCGATATGCAACCCGACCCACCTGGGCCAAAACCCTGAAAGGATCAATGAACCTGGGGCCCAGCTTGCCCCTCTTCCGAAACCTAATGACACCCTTCCAAGGTGAGACCTTTAGAAGGACCATATCCCCTACCCGGAACTCCAAGTTTGAATGCCTCCTGTCGGCGTAGCTCTTCTGCCGACTCTGCGCAGTCTGCAGTCTACTACGAACCTGCTGAATCAACTCGGTCGTCTTGAGCACCACCTCCGTGCTCCCAATGACTCGCTGACCGACCTCGACCCAACAAATCGGGGTTCTGCACTTCCTCCCATAAAGCATCTCAAAGGGAGGTCGATCCATGCTCGCATGATAACTGTTGTTATACGAAAATTCTGCTAACGGAAGATACGTATCCCAACTGCCACTGAAGTCTAGGACACATGCCCGGAGCATGTCCTCGAGAGTCTGAATCGTCCTCTCGCTCGCCCATCCGTCTGAGGATGGAAAGCGGTGCTGAAATGGAGACGAGTACCCATCTCGTCATGAAACCGCTTCCAGAATTTGG